GGAATAGGATGGTTTTCGTGAGTTTCTTGCTTGTTGCTCCTCTTCTCATTCCCCATCTGTCATTTGTGTCATGATCTAGGCTTCTCTTCGGAGTTCGGACGTATCTTATATGCTCTAAGTTGTTTTCTTCTTCTCCTATCTATTTCAATTGCAGCCTGCTACTTGGTTTTGTATTCCCATTCATGTGGTATTATGCAACAATTCTTTACTTTCGGAATTACTACCAGAGAGATCCGAGGGAGCGGGCAGGGCTAGCTGCCAATGCAATAGCTGTGAGTTACCATCCTTAACCCTAAGTGCAAGTTGCATTGATTCTGATTTCAGCTTGATCACCTAAAAAGTCCTTATAATGTCAAGGGAATCTATCTTTTCTACAGCATAATCTTAGTACTCTTACTGATCTTCTCGGAAATTAAAAAAAAAAGCCAATGAAGTTTAGTTGTCAGTTATTTGTAGGATCAGCAGCATTCTGTCCTCAAAATAGTCTATCTATTTACATTTGTACATGTATCTCAAATAAGTTCATCACTGCAGGCTCTGATATTTACTGTAGCAGCTCTAGTTGCAGTTGCCCTGATTGTATTGTAGTCATCTTCTGCTATACTCTTCTCTTAGCTGAAATCCACAATCCAGAGAACTGAGTGATGACTCCCCTACGAAGAAAGTGACTTCACAAGAGCACGCATACAGAAAGTGACACCTGCTGGAATAATGCTGCAGGCAATGTGGGGAATGGGAGAAAATAGCCCATTACCAAGGGTATGAACATGTAAAGATGTGTAATACTAGTGTCCATTTGTTGTGCTGTCTATTAGACGATAATATGGCTTAATCCTGTAATATTCATGAGGAACCAAAAAAGATTGTTTTTCAGTTGCTCATGGGTGTGTATAATTTTTCATGACTAACTTTTTTTCTTGTTGCTGCCAGTGAATAATATGTATGTTGGTGACAATAATTAACTAGAATAATATGTATGTTGGTGACAATAATTAACTAAAAAAAATTACCAACTGAGTTTTTCTAAGAAAGAAAAGAGTGTTACATGCAAAGCGAAACTACTCAAATAAGATGCCTGTATAGATACAGTATCTAAAACTGAATCCTCTTTGAGGTAACAATGGCCCTTCTGAGGTAGCCAACAACATGTAAAATAAACTTTTCCCTTCCAAGAAAAGGTATGATTTTCACGATTAAAATTCAGAGCCATTTATTCAGTTTTCATGCCATTATCACCCTCAAACTAGAAAACACCACTCATTTGAGGCAAATGCTAATGCTACAAAATGTTCAGAACCAGTTCTGAGTTCTGAAACATTAGTCAAAGGAGCATAAAAATAGCAGAAAATTGCAACCACTAAAAGTTTCACTAATTTACTTAAAACATATTTCTCTCATAAGAAACTCTGAGCCTTTCATGACTCTACCTAATTCTACCAGTGAAAGGATTGCGAAGATGAACTAAAAGATGATGATTTTGGTATATCAGCAGAACTTACTCTTCCAAAAAGTTAGAACTTGGAATTTTTGCTCAATAAATACTTCTTCAGAACATCCATGACGGATCCAAAGTCTGCTTTCACCTGTACTGGGGGATTAGCAAACCGACACTCCATGTTCTTTATTTCTTTTGAATGATAATCAACCTTGGATTGAGTAAACTTCAATCCATGAGCTGTACTCACAACCACTGTCCTATCAGTAGGCGCAATAACTCCAGCCTTTCTCAGCTTGGAGAGTGCAGTCAATGCCACACCAGTGTGGGGGCATATAAACATCCCAGTTGAGTCAGCCTGAGCCATCGCATCCATCAACTCTTCCTCAGTTGCCTCCTCCACTATCCCATTGGACTTCTTTAGAGCAAAGACAGCCCTATCAATAGATACTGGGTCACCAATCTGTATAGCAGATGCAAATGTGGTATTTGCCTTGACAGGTTTGAAATCTTTCCAACCAGACTTATAATGCACGTAAAGTGGATTTGCATTGGCTGCTTGAGCACAAACAAGTCTTGGGATACGATCTACAAGCCCCAGCTCCTTGCACATGTGGAAACCTTTGTAAAATGCATATATATTGCCCAGGTTACCACCAGGAACTATCACCCAGTCTGGAACTTCCCATTCAAACTGCTGCAGAATCTCTATTGCTGCCGTCTTTTGTCCTTCTAGCCTCAAACTATTCAAGGAATTAGCCAAGTAAATTGGCAACTCAGCTGTGACTTCGCGAATCAACTGCATACAACCATCAAAATCAGTGTCGATACTCAACACAAAGGCCCCATTGGCTATTGGTTGAACCAGTTGCGCCATAGATATCTTATTTGCAGGTAAAAACACAATTGATGGAATGCCTGCAGATGCACAGTAAGCCGACAGCGCAGCGGACGTGTCTCCAGTGGAAGCACATCCAACACCCACAACTGGTTTATGCATTTTCCGCAACCGATTTACTTGACTCACCAATACGGTCATGCCAAGATCCTTGAAGCTACCGGTGTGGCTGATTCCACAATGTTTGACCCACAAATCATTCATGCCTAGGAATTGTTTTCCGTAACGCTCAGCCCAGAAAAGATTGGAATTTCCTTCAAAAGCACTGATAATATCATCACTGTCAATTTCAGGCAGGACCCATTCTTTCTTGGACCAAACACCTGAACCATAAGGCCATGTTGTCTTGCCCACCCTGGAATCAAACAGGGACCGCCAATACTGGCCGTCAAATTTCTTTAGGGCGTCCATATCGTGTTGGACATCAAGTAAGCCACCGGATCGGCTGCGATAAATAATCTCATCGAGAGGATACCACTCGCTGGAGTTAGGATCGGCATTAAAAGGTACATACCTGCAGAAGCATATGCAAAATTTAAAGTTAACAAGTGCAGAGTACAATTGCACCCACATTTCAGTAAAGTAGATGGGAGCTTGATGTAAATATATGTCTATGATTTGCTTGCTACAGTTGGGAAGTAGCAAATTTAGTGAATTTGTATTATTCCACTTTAAATGCCAATGTTATTTAACTGAGCCTATTCAACCTTCAAAATGTGTGATTTTGTTCCCTGAGATAACGTTGTTAAAAAACTTAACAGAATCATTATTTTTACAAACAAAACAGAAGATAAAAGGTGAAAAGAGTGTTGATTGCTGATGTCCAGCACTGATGGGAGGTGGGCATCAAACTAAGCGCACACAGCCTTCATCCTTGAGATTTCCTCGGCATTTCCGCTCTTCTGATTCCACATTTACGCCCACAGAAGGCAAATACCCTTAGCTTTCCCTCTCTACCCTGCAAAGGTAGAGGAAAGGTTTGCGTACATCCTACCATCCCCAGACCCTACTTGTGGGATTACACTGGTTATGTTGTTGTTGTTGTTGTTGTCGTTAAGGCAGATACTCTTACAAGGAGAAATCTTCATTTGCATCTAAGAGTACTCAAGCTTTCAAACTCATTATCACTTCCAGACACCTCAAACAGTCAAAAAATCTGATTTGTACTACATTCAGATACGGTGGAGGCAGAAGGCCTCTCCATTCTTGAGCCAGTGAAGTCCAATCTCTCCAACATTCACAGTAATCAGGCAACCCCATAGTCCCATCGTTGTAAAACTCCCAGTCAACAACCCACCATTTAGAACCCCCAAAATAACATTTTTTCTCGCAGCAGCAACAACAACAACATATCCAGTGTAGTCACACGAATGGGGACTGGGAAGGTAGTGTGTATACAAACCTTACCCTACCTTAGAAGGTAGAGAAACTGTTTCCGAAAGACACACCTACCCACAAATTAAGCTGAAAAAAAAAATTGAATCTTGAAGGATGATTAAATAAGGAATATCTATTTCTACTATTTTTCTAGTTTCTCTATTCATTTAAAATAATGATTCCCTTAAAGCTGAAACTTTATAAAAAAATTTGAATGAATAGAAGATTAAATGCGCTCATTCAAATAATAAGGAAAACCAAAAACGGAATAACGCAATAACAAAGGAACGTTAAATCCCAATTTATATAACTGAAGTCGAATGTAAATGGGTAGCATAATACGCATACCTAGCAGAGAAATTGTGGGAAGAGATGTCGCGTCGGGCTTCCTCACGGATATTCTCGTCAGCAGGGCGGCGGTGCTTCTGAAGTTGTGGAGATTTGGAGTTTGCATCGTCTGAAGAAGATGTGGCTTTGATAGGAGTGAAGAAGGAAGCACGGTTAGATTTAGCAGGGGATTGTTGATGAAGATGAGGGTTAGGAGAGAGGAAAGAGGATCTGAGCATGCAAGAAGCCGCCATTGTTGAAGCAGTGAGAGTGGGCTATGAGGCAGTAGAGATGGTAAAGAGGGAATGAGAAATGTACTCTCCAGTTAAAAATATACCTCTGCTACTGTTAAGAAAAAAATGATAAATAAATATAATTTAATACACAAATATAAATTGTCCAATTTCTAAATAATGTGATTTTCATTAAGGTGACACTATTTTGAAATAGAATGATACAATAATCAATAATGGATGTGATTTTCATTATGATGACACTTATTTTAAAACGAATGAAATAGTAGGGACAACTTCTTTTACGAGTCAGAATCAAACTTAATATTATTTCAAATAGCTGAGTATTGTGGAAATTGTACATTATTAGGAATTACATTTTCGCAAACAAACAGAAGTGAAAATTGTACTTTAGCTTATCAACAAAAAGAATCGTTATGACCCATTATGTTTGGCTGGATGTAATTTGTATTATCAAACCAAGTCGATTTTTCTCAAGTATAAACAACAACAGACAAGGTGTAACCAAAGTTTTCATGTTACGGACAATGTAATGTGATATTATTACACCCCTCAAGAAAACTGGAAAAAAGTGAAATGTCATATAAGCCAAGAGGACTAACAAATTCAATTATTGTATATTCCTTCCGTTCACTTTTACTTATATGTTTCAAAAATAGTATTTTGGTAGACTAAGAAATATACGATCTGAGTATACCATATCTTTTGATTGGTGTATGTAATCAACACGACCATAATTCACAATTATAGGCAACATCAATGTTTAAAAACCAAGAGACATGTACACCAAAGTTGGTGGAAGCTCAATAGATCACATCAATGAGACTTAATCCTACTAAAACGACTAAAGAAGAGACATTAACTGTTTAAACTCACAGTATGTACCTGTTTTTGCTACTTAAAGACTCTTTTTATAACTAAACCATCAATAGAACCTTTCCCTATTCATCAGCTGCATGTTCTAACCAACAGTATACAAAGATGAATCACAGTGCCATTAAACTTGCACTAGTTAGAGAGCCAAACGGCCTGAATAACCTGACTAACAAAAGATGCTACTTTATCAAATTTTATATGTCAACTCGAGCTCTCTTGTGGCTACAAGACGGACACTTGTATTGCTTGATATGCTCAGCCTTGGCAGGGGTAATCTTCACACACTTGCCGTGGAACCACTTTTCACATATGTCACAGCAAATCCAAAATTCATCTGCCGCATAATTTTCTCCACAGGCACCACACAGTGTCTCGCCATGCTCATCCTCATCCTCCTGCTCATCCAAACCCTCCTCTTCATCTTTAGGCTGCAACTTTGCTAACTTCTCCTGATAATCTGGTGCCCTCTGCTTTTGCCACCAAAAAGAAAAATAATGATAAACCAAAAGAAGTGAAGACCATGTAGCCAGACAATAGGTATCATTGTTACAGGGTTAGATCAGATTAGCTAGTCCAAGGGCAAGCTCTCCTTGACATCTCTAATATATCCCGGAAAACAGAAAAACAAATATGCAGTAGAATGTGACAGGTGTTCAATCAAGATCGAACATACTTGATAAAACTTTAAAATTAGTCCCAAGTCAAGCAAGCAACTAATGCAAATTTGTCTAAGAAAAAATTAAACATCATGCTACTTCTGACCAGCAAACCAACATACTGTCCAAAGATAGACTTACCGCCTTGGAATTTGACTTGGATTTTTTGCCACTGTGGCCAGAAGACTTTTCTTTCTGTTGTTTCTTTACAGCACCAGTCACTACTTCATATATTGTAGGCAATTCATTTATCATGTTGAAAAGCTTCTTCCTGAACAAGATAAAAGAAACTATGAGCAACAGAGAAAAAAAACGCAGTGAAGTTCATGAGGTGGGGAACTGTGATGACTTCTGTCACCACCGAGGCCATATTGACAATGTTTATCCTGATGTGGGTTTCAAACAGGAGGCACAATCTTGGGTAGGTAAATAGAAATGTGAACCTAATAACTACAAAAAAACAACAGAAATTAGCTTTGAATTTCATCACTAAATTTGGTCGTAGCTAACAGCAGTCACTAAATAGGTTTAGCAATGCATTTTGTTGTTAAGCTATGGAATTAGTCCGTCCCTAATGCCTTATTTTTTAAAGTAGTGAATAAACTATTGTATCCTATATGCAGTAGGGCTAATGGAAAATAACCAGAACATGGCGTTCCATTAACATCAAATTTACTTTTCTAAGTGAAAAGTTGGAGCATTTTCGATTCATCAAACCCTCTGACGAAGGATCCTACATGTAGCAAACACAAAATGCAGAAATGAAATAAAATTGAGCCTTGCTCAATAAGAGCTCTTTCACAATTTCAAAGAAAATACTTGAGCTTGAATACAATGGTGTTGGTTGATTGACTGTGTTTAGCCAAAAACAGGTTTGACAAGGCTTAGATATGTTAATTCATACAGATATCCAAGCAACAGAGGTCAACTGTCTATTGATTTGATTTACATTCCATTTGAAATCTGTCCATACATAACAAATAATGCAAGCTGGAGGAAGAATTTCTTTAACCTGTAACTATAATATCGATGTTTCTAATTTAACCAGCACAGTTCTGCCCATGCCCAATAATTCTCTGTGTACAACTTAATATTAAGCAGACTTAACATTTATACCTCCTCTGGAACAGTAGCACAGCTATTAGTGGCAACTTGATACCAAGCACTGTCTGAACAATATTACCAATAACAAAAAACGATTACTTCAATGCAACACGTCCCAAATCAAATAGATGCATGGAATTGCTTGAGAAAACAACCAGGAAAACAGATAAACAATTTGATGTACTGGGGATCAAAAACAAATATAAAATCATCAAAGGAAATACTAGAAGCAAATATCTCCAAAACTTATCACATCGCCAACAGATATGAATTACCAACATATTTTAATCAAGTAATGTTCTTAACGTCCTTTAAGCATGGAAATATGTGTGCTTACAACAAATGAAAGTTTGGATGAGAAAAAGTACCTGCTGGCTTTATCAAATCCAAATCTAGCACCAAAATAGAAGGCGACAGAAAGCAGCCAGGAATCACTATGGACAGCAACCAAGGATAGCCAATCCTTGTCTTCCATCCCATCTCTAGCAAAGTTAATACCAAGAGCAGGCTCAGGGAGCTCTGGTGGTACTTCTTCAGCAGGCAGATTGACCTCCCATTGTTCATTTGGGAGACCATACAAGCACAAGTTTTCCTTCTCTGGATAATACACAATGGAGATGTTTAACTGCTTGAACTAGAAACTACATAATCATATAAGATGGACTAAATTACCAAAAGTAAAGTACACCACATTAATGTTAATAAAAAAAAAAATTGTTCAAAGAAGGGGACCATGGTGTGAAAAGGAGCATGGTAGATGTTACCACAAACTGAGCCTCAATTAAAAGAGAAGAGTATCAATAGGGAACTAAGTACTCTAAATCAATCACCTAATATATGACACATATAGCAGGAGTATGAGTCAGTGCCATTACATATGACACTTCCAGTAGCAAAGCAAGTTCACTTTTGAAAACTTCGAGAAAATCTTTTCATCCATAAATTACCACTAAATACATCCAAGTATGGCTATATTTAGGTCCATAAATTTAGCACAGCTAGGGAAGCAAGGAGTAAAATCAAATAAGGAGCAAAAACTCGAGATGAAAAAAATGTTGAAGCTCAGTGCCCTGTAATTTAGTAGTGTTCTGCTTCTAGAGTAGGTAAATATTTATTACAGATAGGGAATTACAGAATTTATAAATACGCAAGAGCGTTTACACTTGCTCAATTTTTTTGCTTTTGCACTTGGCCAATGTAATGAAATGGAGGAACTACAGAGAACATGACATGACAAACTGAGAATTTATGTATATGTTTACTGGCATTTACAATAACATACCCAATGTACACAGACCCTCGGCTCAAGTAACACATAACAAGTCAGCTTGGAAAAGACAATACAGATTAGTACAAGGCATAGCAAATAATAGAAAAAACATAACAGACCATACAAAGTGGTATATAAATCTAAAAAATATAAGAATTTGTATTTATAGGCATATAAAGGTACAAAGTACAGAAATGCTAAGACTATCCTATCTTTAGATAAATCTGAATAGATTCTAAGAAATTACAAGTCTATCGAGACAACTTCGTTCTACATAAAAGTTTCAACATTATAGGTGATTCAGAAACCCAATGCCACCTAATTTTCTCCAAAGAGACCTAATTATATGTGCAGTACAAATAATTGACTGCTCCTACATAAATTCCTTGGACCAAAACACAGCCTAATCCTCTCTTCCTACTCCGACCACTTATATTGGCGCAATCACCTATTCATTGGTGGAGCTAGAGTTAAGGCAATGCCGCTATGGATTCAATAGAACTCAATAACTTTGGCGAAAATTCTATATTTGTGTCAAGAAATCCAATTGATATACAACAACATACCCAATGTAATCCTACAAAGTGGGGTCTAGAGAGGGTAAAGCTTATGCAGACCTTACCCCTACCTTGGAGGTGGAGAGGCTAAGTGGGTGTTTGGATTGGCTTATTTTAAGAAGCTTTTGCCTTTTAAGCTCTTCTTTAGTTTTGTAAAACACCAAAAGTGCTCTTAAGCACTTTCTTTTAGGCTGAAAAAGTACAAAGAAAGCCATAAGCCAAAGTTTTTTTTTTATGACAAGGAAAACCTGCAGCCGCTACCCTTTGGGTGCGCACAAGGTAAAACCCCCGCTCCTATGCAATAGCTCGCAAACCACATAGGAGAGGTAACTCGCACTAGGCAAGCCTGGTGCAACGAGCTCGACCCAGAAGGCAAACCCCTTGCTTTCACTGGCAAGGGGTTTAGAACTTGAGACCTCCAACATGGAAGTCCCAAGCTCAAACCACTGGGCCACCCCGAATGGTAGCCATAAGCCAAAGTTGGGTGTTCCCAACTTATGGTTTTTAGCTTTTAGACAATAAGCCACTTTGAAAAAAGCCAATCCAAACACCCTTTAAATCCACTTAATATGTATAAATAACTAATCCAAAACCCAATAAGTTCTCTTTCTAGAATCTAGAATCCATAAACTCAAATATTTTAGATCCACCTTTGCATATGTCACCACTCACCACCATCCTAAAACACATATGACTGATAAGGGAGCCAGTTCAAGGGGAAAGAAGAAAGAGGGGGGAGAAAGAACACTGAAGCAGATGCGCGGCTAGTATCTAACTAATCAAACAATACACTTGTATTCGCGAGGTATAATCTGCAGTTCCTTCAACGTGGCTTCTTTATCGCATGTGACTGCATCTCAAATAAACAATTACAGCAGCTTGTTGAAGCTTTAGTTATGCCACAAATGAACCCGCATATCAGAATCACATTTAATATCTAAGTCAAGTCAACAGCTAGGTATCGGATAAAACGCTCACTGTGGGTCAGTTCTAGATTTTTTGTACATAGTTATCAGCACATGACAACTAATACAAAACTGTTTAACTACTTCATAATAAACTGATCCTGTTTCCTAAAGATCTTTTCAGAAAAAAGAAACACACACACGGCATTGCACACACAAGATGCCAATGAACAAACAAAACTCTGCTACGATAGCAAGTTCAATCATTCACTGCCAGAACACAATGATAACATCTTCGTCTATTGCAATATCAAATTCCATAATACCCAAAACTAAAATGAAACAAAAATCCCAATGACAGTCAATAAAAAAATTCCAAACTTTATACTGAAGAAGGTCCAACTGGAAAAAACACTTACCAGGATCACACTGCTGATAAAATTCTTCCACATCTGGAATACAACAAAAACAAAATACACTGATTAGATACAGAATAAAGACAAATAGTAAAAAGAAAAGAAAAAAAAGAGGAATAAAAAAAAACGTGAAGCAAAGGGAAACATCATTACTTCTATTTGGGAATTCAAAAAAATAAAAAAAGGGAACTGTAATTTTCTCAAAAACATCTAAAGATTGAGAAATCTCATCCTAATTTCACAAACACACCCAAAAAAAACTCAAAAAAATCTAGGGTTTTCAATTTTCAAAGAGCAATTATTAAAATTTGAAAGAAAAAAAAACCAGCAAGACGAGAAACAACACTTGAAGCAACGCGAAACATCATTACTACTATTTAGGAATTCAAAGAAAAAAAGGGGGGACTGTGATTTTCTCAAAAAAAAAACTTCTAAACATCAAAAATCTCATCCCAATTTCACACACACCACAACAAAAACTCAAAAAAACTAGAGGGTTTTAATGGAGCAGTAATTAAACTTTCAAAAAACCAAACAACAAAAAAAAAAAACCTACCTACGGTAAGAGCCTTAATCAAAGCAGTACGTCGTCTCTTGAAATCCCCAAAAACATCTTCCACAGTTCGGGAATCAAACTGTTCTCCTCCTCCACCACCGTCCATTAATCAGTAGAGCAACCTCGAAGAAAATTTGTAAGAAAAAGAGAGTGGCGTACGGCTGCACAGTTCAAGGGGGGAAAAGAGAGGGAGGAGGGGATTTTGAATTGTGAGTAGAAACAAAGAAGAATGGGAAAAAGGGTTTTAATAAGTGAAGAGAAGATGATGAGGAAACCTAGAATAGTGGATAACGCTAAAGTAGTGGACTATGATATAAAAAACCTAATTAAAATTGGGAAAATTACGTGTATAAGCAAATATATACTAGTAAATTAGTTAACATAATTATAATTTGTCTTAATTACAATTTGCGGCCTACTTTTAGTTATAATTATGTGGCTCAGCTTTTTAGTTTTGTATAACTTTTATATAATTCGGAATTTATATAACTGCTTTCATTTCTAATGTTTGTAATTGTATAAATTCGTTATTTCAATCTTATACAAAAATAACTGAATTATACAAATGTATCTGCGAATTATACAAACAAGACAACTTAAATTGTAGCTACAGCCCGTAAATATGCAAATTATAGTTATGGAACATAATTAAATTTATTATAGTGGCTATTTGCGAAACTTGCCCAAAATTTTGTTATTTTTAATAAAGACAATTACATTGTGGAGGATAGAACCCTCCTTGAAAAGTTGGGAGGGTAGGTAGACAACTAACTAAGCTACTAACACTCCGTTTGGATCATTGTTACTCATTTTTTTTATAATTTATTGTATTGAGTTGTACAGTAAATACAATGTTTGACTAGATTGTATTGTTTCTTGCTTTTTAATAATATTTTTATTGTTTTATTTTATTGTATCGTATTGTATTGTAATTTATAAATTTACTAAAATATTCTTAATTATTCTAAATACTAAATTTATCAATAATTACTAATAAAATAACAATACTATCATGCACATTTTTTTATGTCATATGAAAATAACATAAAAATTATATCATCAATTATAATTATATTATTAAACACTATCATCATGTTTGTATCTAGATTGATTGATTTTTTTTAAATCATATAAAACAATATGTTAAAAGAGGCAAAAGTATAAAAAAAAAAAAGGGGGGGGGGGGGGGGGGGGGACATATGCTTAAAAAAAAGAAGAAAGAAGAAGGACAAACAACTAAACCTAAATGGAGACAAAGCAATGTAATAGTTGTTGGGTAGGAGGTTTGAATGGTTTAAATAATACAGGGTAAAGGGTAAAATAGTATTATGAAATATTAAGTATGGACATAATTGGAAAAAGAAATTAAGTAATAATGGGAACACACCAAATCGGTTGTTCCATAAAATGGAGGTTTTCATTGTTACGTAACAACGAAATTTAACAATACAATACAACACGTTTTAAGTAACAATCAAAACAAACATTATATGTGTGGTAACAATATACAATACAATACAATGGACAATAATGATCCAAACAGAATGTAAGAGTCTCCCATCATAATTTTGTTTTCTCACTAAAGTAAAAGTAAAATTGTATTACGTGTATGTATCACCCTCCCAAAATCTCATTTGCGAGATTACATGTTTGAATCTGATCAAGAAGGATAGAACTTGTATTAATATCTTTATTTCAATTCAAATATGAATTTGATTTGTCGTCCGTATTTTGAGGGAAGCCACTAAATTGAGGGTTTCATCCGCTTATTTTGATGCTCGTTTAGAAACAACGAATGAAATGCACAATCCTCTTTAATAGATATGAGTGAGTACTATTTGAGTTCGTAAGTAAAGCACGGAAAGAGCCTTATTTACAAAGCAGAGCGACCTCATATTGTTTGCTTCCAGCTAAGTGTTGTTAATTGTCTAAAAGCTATGGTTAATGAAATGTCTTTTGAAAATAAATCACTAATCCATCTTAGATACTCTTTTAAGTTTGTGTAAGACAGAAGAAATGAAGGAACCTGTAGAAGATTGAAAATCGTAATGCACTAGGGAGTTGGCGCAACAATTTAATATTTTTTTAAAAAAAATGTATTGTGTGTATGCATCGCTTTTATCAAATCTAATTAGCGAGATCATATTAAATCTAATTTAAAAGGGACGAATTTGCATCAATATCTTAATTTCAATTCAAACATGAGTTTGATTTTACACTCCATATTTAGAGGAAAGCCACCAAATTGAGAGCTTCATTCGCTTGCACTGATTTTTATTTAGTAGACAGCAAGTGGAGTGCAAAAGCTCTTTAGAGATAGGGGGTGAGTACTACACGAGTTTGTAAGTGAAGTATGGAATAAGCCTTGTCTACGAAGCAAAGTGACTTCATCTTATTTGCTTCCACTGAAGTATTGTTAGTTGTCTAAAAGCTACGGTAAATAAAATTCACATTGAGAATCCGCAAGAGGCTGAAAAATTGTAAAGTTCTTGGATGTTTTTTTTTCTTTTAATTTACGTAAGGTCCGTAGAAAAACGTTTGCTAAGGCTTATAGCTAGCTTTCTTTGTCCTTAGTTAATTTTGGGAATTTATCCAAAATTAATGTGACATGGCATCTCATCAAGAGAGAAGAGTATATTTTGAGAAAAAAATAAATAGACGATGTTATTATGGTTCTAAAAGAAACAAAAATGATATTATAATATAGCGACTATCTAAAGAATTTACTCTTGCTTTAGAGAAACAAATGGAACTGCAGATTTGCTAGCAAAGGTTGCTTTAGAGACCAATTGATCACGGAAGAAATTTGAAAATGTGAGTTTTTGAAGTTGTGATTTTTGAACTTACATTTTACTTGAGTTTTTAATTATTTTTTTAAAGTTTCATTAGTGAGTAAAATTTCTCCCAAACACTAGCTTATTGAAAATATTTAAAGATTAGATTTTTAAAATTTGACAAAATTTCATGATCAAGCAAATAACATTATTATTTCTTGGCATTAAGCTCATACATAGTAGTAAAAGCAGCCACTAATCAATTATCAATACCCTCTCAATGAATTAGTAGAGAAATTATCCCAAATACTTGGGTAAAACATTATTATTTCTTTGCATTAAGCTCATACATAGTAATAAAAGCAGTCACTAATCAATTATTCCCAAATGCTTGAGTAAAACTTACAAGTAGTCATATATTCTCATGCAGCATTTAATTGATAACAACATACTAGCGTAATCTCACCGGTGGAGTCTAGAGATGATGGTGTGTAAGAAGTCTTTGTGGAAATTATCTCACCGGTGGAGTCTAGAGATGATGGTGTGTAAGAAGTCTTTGTGAATAATTTCCACGCCAACGAAAAAAAAAGTGTAAATTGACTCCTCACTTTTTTTTTGGTTTTAGTTTCCGCCAATAAGCAGCTAAAAGTCTACTAAATACTATTGAAAAAGGAAGAGAAACATACATTATCAGGAATACAGATCAAAGAGAAGAAATATCAACAGCAGTATACCAAATAAACACCACAGTTAACTCCAAGAAAAACTGCAAATCTGAAAGTTTACAAATCTATGATTATGACAAATTCACAATCACTGATACCCCAGTATAAGGAAAAGCTCTAATCAAACCATTGGATCCCCCTTCATCAACCAGCTAAACTTCCTTCACCAATCCATGAAATCTAGTGTCAGGAATTATTTCCTACAGCATCCATCGGTTCAACCCACCACGCAATATGGTTTGCCTACTGATTAGTAGTCTCGTCGCATTTCCTATCATGTCTCAACAAAGCAACAGTCAGTTTTGAGCCACTATAAGAGGGAGGAGAGAGTTGACAATTCTACTAGTTTGTTATATGACCCAAGACTCTAGCTGAACTGTAGCTCTCTCTAAAAATAAGAGATTTTTTCATAATATAAGAAAACTCAAACTCCTCAAGTACCCGGTCTACTTATGCACAAAAGGGTTATTTGGTCAAACATAAACAATCAATTTTATATGCATAACAATCAGAAATGCTGTTATTAATGTATGAACCAGTCAACAGACTGGAGCACAGCTTAAGTGTTTGGCTGCTGTCACGTAAATTTATCATTAATTTGGTGTTACTGGAGTAAAGGCCAACAAAAATAAATGTAAAATGTAAATATTTCTTACAGCAGGGTAACTCGGCATATAGACTACTTGCCGAGGGTGACCAATCATCATCTGCTGTCCATACTGCATCAAAAAGACGAGAATTTTGAACATTCTGAAACCCATTTCAAACGTAATGACAGAAGAATCAGTACACATATATGCTGGTAACCAAAACACTGACAAACCTGTGGTCCATTTGGATGAAAAAATTGTTGTGGTACAGGTGTAGCTTGTGGATTAAACATAACAGGCTGATGTGCAGAAAATGATGGACCAACCTGCATCGCATATATGATCAGCAAACCTTCAATAATGCATTAAAATGTGAGGGGGGGAGGCAATAGCACCTCTTTAGTTGAAACACTAACAAGTACAAGAAAAATATTTCACAAAGATGCGACAGTAACTTCAAAAGAATTGTGAATTTCTCCAGCTATCTTCCAACAATATGAAAACAGTAGGCAGATCAAACGAACAAATTTTCACAATAACAACATATGCATTGTAATCTCACAAGTGAGGTTTGGGGAGAGTGGTATATTCAATACAACATTAATTATACCTGATAAGAGAAGTACAATATTTTACCACAATTACCGCAACAGCACATAGAGTTTCAGTTCCACCATGAAAAATGAGAATGAAGGGCAAGTAATCCACAGCAGAAGATTACAAAAGACAGAATCCATATGTCCACCTCATGAAAATTACCGTTCTTAGGAAAACACACTTGCAGATTTTACACAGTACCACCCAAAAATGGGTTACCGACAAACCAAATCTATAAACATTTCCACCAGCATAGCCAAATATTTGACTCAAAATAAAGATGATAGACACTACATAAGTACATATCCAAAATATAACTTAGGTAATACAGCTATGGAGTCTACCAAGCTTTGACTTCCAAAGGCAGATCAGGTAAGATTCATAAAGTTTTTTTTTTCTGTCAGAACAAACTCCGCATATATTGACTATAAAATACACACACATCACTTACCCCAACAGGCATGCCATGCATATTTGGAACAGTAGCCACACCAGCTGGATAATAGAAGGAATTATCAGACACCGGAGAAGCAGGTCTCAAAGGTGATTGAAATGGCATGTAACTCTTTGCATTAGGATTTAGTTTAAATTCCTGAAAAAATAATCAACAGAACCAGAATAGATAAACATGTAGATGATTAGCCAAAGGAAGGGGGAAAAAAGAAATGGCATAACTCTAATAGAAACTATGGAAATTATTGCAGGATGATTGTTCTTTTCATTTTGTTGAAAAAGGGAAGATTCAGAAATAGTTCTTGCCTTAGCATGTGGATTCAATGTGGATTTTTCTGACGAAAATGAATTTACAGAAGAGGTTTGTGATAATCCATTGTCAGCTGACGTTGAGGCAGCACCTGTTCCATCAGAACCAGATAGAACAGAACTACTAGGTCGTACACGAGAATTAGCAGATTGTGAAGCCCCTTGAATCTTGGAAGACACTGCACCCTCAAACTTCTCTCTAGAAGAACTCGTGATCATATCCTGGTCCCCTGGATGAACATGCAATGCAGAGATGTCTGAAGACAATCTACCCCCATCAGAGGTCTCCATTTTCATTCTTGAAGAAGACTTTGAATCTGCACGAGTTAAAACCTAAGGTTAACAGAAATGGAAGTTGGAAGAAAGACATTTTGACATATTTGAATTTGCATTGTCAAAAGCACAAGTGCATCACAGACCAGGAGACAGCAATTACCGACACCAAGTAACTGCTATTGCACAAGCATGACAGATCGCATTTCTTGGTCACAAATTCAACCTCAATTTTCAGGATGTGAGTTGAATGTAGGTGAAATGTAATCACCCTATAATTTTACCATTTAATTACGCCAAAGCCAATATAAGCAAATGTTTCAAAAGCTAATCCCAAATTGTATCTCTATTATTTTTTGATCAAGTAATCCCAAATTAGAGTGAACGTTGTGCTGCTAAAATCCAAAACATCCACAAAATGAATGTCACAGATATGCGGATGCTAAGATGGATGCGTCGTCATACAAGATTTAAAAAGTTCAGAGATCATCATATTCGCAAGAAATTAATTTCACCATTTAATTGCGCCAAAGCCAATATAAGCAAATGTTTCAAAAGTTAATCCCAAATTGTATCTCTATTATTTTTTGATCAAGTAATCCCAAATTAGAGTGAACGCTGTGCTGCTAAAATCCAAAACATCCACAAACTGAATGTCGCAAATATGCGGATGCTAAGATGGATGCGTCGTCATACAAGATTAAAAAAGTTCAGAGATCATTACATTCACGAGAAAGTTCAAGTAACACAGATCAAAGATAAATGAGAGGTCGCTTGAGATGGTTTGGTCATATCCAGAGTCGGCCTCCAAATGCACCGGTCTGTAGGTGTGATAAAATCACAGTAGGTGAAGGTGTCAAAAGAGGAGAAGGAAGACCTAAAATCTCATGGAAGAAGGTTGTCTCGAAGGACCTACAATTTATGGAGATTCAAATAGACCTAGAAAAAGATAGAGCACCATGAAATAAAAAGATCCGTAAAGACAATACATATAAGTTTTTTTTTTTTTTTAAAAGATTGTATCTTGATGCACTTGATGCTCTAGCACTTTATCTCAATGGAATATAAGATCTTTGCAAAGGCTACGTAGAAACAAGCTTCATTAGAAACTGACTAAATAAGACGCATCTATCTTGTTTTAAGTAAAGCATCAAGACATCCTCAACAACAGTCTTGAAGTAGATACAGTTCGTTCTTGAAGATAGAAAAAATATATTACCAGAAAACGCTATTTCGAGCAAGCAACTGAAAGAGATTAAATTTGCAAGCTACAATAATGAATACAAATTATAAACAGAACTTAGCACTAAACTAAATGCCCGTTTGGATTAGCTTATTCTTAGGTACTTTGACTTTTAAGCGTTTTTTTTTGTTTTGGAGGTGTGTGAAGAGGTTAAAAAAGCTATGTTGCTCGGACTCTTCAAAAATGTTGATGGGTTCATGTCGGATTCTCCAAAAATAGTGTATTGTTGAAGGATCTGACACAGGTGCGGCAACATTTTTGGAGAGTCCCAGCAACTTTGCTTTTAAGCACACACTTTTAGGCCAATTTTTTTTCCAAATAAATCAAAAGTAGGGTATCCTCTACTTATGACTTTTAGCTTTTGACTTATAAGTTACTTTTTAAAAGTTCATCCAAACAGGCCCTACATCTGTCTGCCAATGAAGTGTGCTTAGCTCAATATAAAACTACAAAAGGCTAATGGCAGTTACCATTACATTTTAAATTTTTCAATGAAGTGTGCATGTGTTTGGTGAATCCTATGGAAAGAAAGAAATGAAAGATGCCATGATGGAAAAGCTAGCAGTCTCCAAAAGATCAAGATGAAAAGTATAAGTTTTTTCTATTTTTGGTGTAAACAAGATATAGTGGGGGAGATAGATAGCTTAGTTGATCTCATAGGACAATTGTAAAGTTTCTATCTAGACTTTGGTCTTGATGATACCCTCTAGGGTTGTAAATCCCACCCCATCAACTTTTACCTGATGGGCCTTTTGGTAAAAATATACAGTTACCATTCTCAAAAAAAATTAAAAATAATCCACTGTAAAGCACACTTAGATAACCTAATTATTCTTGGTCAACTGCCAAGAGAGAGCATAAATCAAGTTCAATGAATCATATAAAACATCAGGAAACAGAAAGTCAAAACTTAAATAACTAACTAGATAAATTGTAGCCTGTAGATTGAGTAAATAAAAAAAATTGAAAGCCCATATGAATGCTACTTTATCCTCTCTCTCCCCCCTCCCCCCCGGCAACTTTCATAGTTCCACAAGAGCAAGGTATGCATCATGTACAGGTATCCACCATTCTACAGCAAAACTTACAATTTTATACACTGAACAACCTGTTTTCCTTGCACAAGTTACCAACAACGACTAAACCTTAGTCCCAATCAAGTTTTGTCAACTATGTGAATCCATATTTCTTCAGTTAAGCTCATATCATATCATCATAGTGAAAAGTAACATAAGAAAATAAATAATAATAAAAATAATAATAATAATAGAAGTTCTCTAACAAGTCTAAAACCTATCCTCAACTAGTAGCCTTATATGGATCCTTTTCTTTCATTATCCCTATCTTTAACTAAGTCTACTATCTTTAGCTAAATCTACATTGAAACCAAGCACTTGTAGGTATTGTGAAACAACTTCCTTCCAGGTGATTTTAAGTCTACGTTGTCCCCTTTTAATACCTTCACTTACCATAGCTTCACAAGTTGCCAATTCGAGAAATTTTAATTATTAGAGATTTCTTCTTTTCCTTTTAAAAGATAAATGTTCTCTTTTACTTTATTTACAATTGGTTACTCTCTTCTATGCTTAAATATACTTCTAATTTCTTAAGGTATCATGCCTAGAGGCAACTTCACTATTTTTGTTGCAAAACTTTTTATTTAATTTACCCAAATTAACCCTGTCAATCTTTTTTACCTTATTAAACAGTTGAGAATTTTTTGTCTTTTCACTTAAAGTCACAACTCTCCTCTTCTTCCTTGGATAGTCCCCTGCTGCTTCCCTTCTATGAAACGATTCATGACTTAAAATATTTGAAATTAATCTTTTGATTTCTCATGGTTTGAGCTCTCAAATACCATGAATAAAGAGAAATATTCAAAATTGGAAATTGATTATGGGAAGATAAGGATACCCATTTACAATACCCAAAAAGTTCATTGTGAAGAAGAAATTGAAGAAAATGGCCATAACTATGAATCATATATTCAGTGATGTTTAAGCCCCACGAATGTAGTCAGCCCCTTAAGTTCTTAACCAATTTTTATAACTTTCAAAAGCTTCAAATCAAGTTGGAGAAACGGGAGAAAAAGGGCTTAATCATCAATGTACAATTAACAATAACATTTCTCTGCTCATAAAAATATGCTAAGAAACATTCTTCCCACCAATAATTTCTGTAACTTCACTAAATCCATTTTTAAAAAAGAAAGTTAATCATTTCTCATATTCTCTTTTCGTGAAGTTACCCAAATAGAGAGATTACTCGCAAGCTCACTATGAAAGAAAATGGTTTCTTTGTTGTCTTGAAGTTGCATTGTTATCTTGTAAAATTTGGAAGACTCATGGATGAGAGAGAGAAGATTTAACACAGATAGACATAGATAGATGAGGAAGAAGAAGTACATTTGGTAATTGATGTGTTTTAAATGACTATTGAGAGGGTAATTTGGGTAAATCAAAAGTGGGCACATGCTAACCTACTACATGACTTACTACCTTCATGTGTGTGTGTGTATATATATATATATAGAGTATATTTTTTCGGCTCATTGACAGAGATAGCGACCTCAACTGTTTAGGACTGAGGTATAGTTGTTTTTACTGTAAATGACGAATGCAAATATGTTGGCCAAGTGTCCACTATTTTCAACGCAAGGGAAATAATTTAAAAATTCCATTCGCAGGAGTTCACATGCAATATCTAACTACTCCAGCTCACAAGACATACTCACCTTCCAATACTGACGTTTGAGCAACTTCAGCTATCTACATGAAACAAGGAACACCAATCATAAGAAAGTTCTCCAAGAAAAAGTACCCAAAACATTAATAACAAGTTAAAATGAAAACAATAAGCATTATGGAAGTCAGAGATAAGCTAACCATATGATTTCTTGTATCCTCCTTATTGCAACTTGCTCCAGCATGCTCACTAAACACGGTTTTGCGACCCCTAAAAGGATCATTTCAGTTAGAGAGACGATAAATGAGATTACTAACAAGGCTAACGTTATCTTTAAAACTACTAGTCGTGAAACCAGAAAATAGACTTTACAGCCTAAGGGAATAAAAAGTATCACCGTGGTAGAAAGGAATGATCATAGCAAACCTGTTTAAGATAGAGCCACCTTTAAGGACAACTTCAGCTGATGACTGTTTCGCATGATCATCATAACAAGTCTGGTAGACATCCCTACTGGTACTTAGCTGGGAAGATTGCAATTCATCCTACGGGCAAGATAGGCATAGAAATACTAAAACGCGTCATATAATTAGCTTATATTTACTATAGTCGAGTACACAGAAGCTAAAGTATTACTCATAGGCTCTCAAACCACATGATTCACACTGCAAGTGATTGGTATCTAAGACGTGGATAACTCTTAAATTCACCAGCAATAGTAGACAATAACCAATTAATATATTTTTCGACTAGCTAGAGATATTTGACTAACATGACAATATCTTCCTCTGTCATCCATATCTTAACAGAAGGAAAAAGACTCAGTACCGTAACAAACAATTCTTACAGACTAATGATTGTGGTTAAACAAACTTATACCATGGAGGAAGATCTTGATGAAACTTGTGCACCATCATTCATTTTCCTTCTGCTCATGTCAGTAAATGACTTTCCCATAGCACTAGATATACCTTGAAATGTCTCATCATTACGTGAATCCAACAAGATGTCCTCACAGTCATCATAGCCGCTATCATCAACCTCTCTAACAACTGCAGAAAATCTGGTTTCCTCATCAACTTCTAGGTTCTCATGAAGTTGAATCCCTCTCTCCTATGAAAAATGAATTAAGCAACACAACTAATATTAGAGAGAAAGAAGAAGAGAAAAATCACTTAGAAACAAAGATTTCTGTAAAAAGGATGTAATTACCCCACCTCTGCTAGATGAAGATCACGTGTATCCTCACCCTCAATTTCTCTAGCTATTCTTAGAGCTTCTTTTTCCAACTCACTCATCTGAGGACCTCTCTTAAGCTTTGTCGTATAAAGGTCCTCATCAAATGTGCTTTTTACTCCAAACAGTGTTTCATTGGCCTGAAACTGATCCCAGCCCCTGACAAATACGCACATTATAAAGGTTGAAGCAACTATAAAGGAGATATCGATAGATGACTAGTATAGACACGCAAAAATCAAAATTGGCACAAGTATAACAACATTGGACAAAGAGAGTCTAGTAGTTACTAAAAACTGGACGATATAATTATGAAACACACCATTCTATGCATTCATCTTGCATTGACATAGAGCAGAAAGGGACACCAGCAATGTAATTGAGTGAAATTCATTTTGTATCATACGAGAAAGGGGCACTCATCCTGAATTAAAATACAATAATGTGCTATAACAAGTAGATGTGATCTTCAGACCAGGGAATGACACCTTTTTCCTCCTTTTGGTGATTACATGCATCAAAATTAAATAAGGAGCTACAGGAGGAATTTACCCTTTTCACCAAGAAATATTGTACTTCGAAGACAGTTGAAAACTTAAACTAGAGGAACTTTTCCAGTGCTAATATCTGACACAATCCAACTCAATGTCTGTCTTCAGAATAAATTCAATTCATATTTACTTAGCTTTAGGGCATCTCCAGCCCTACACTCTATTTTACGCTCCAAATATAGAGTTCTCTACTTTTTCAGACAACCAACTTCAATCCAATTCTCTATTTTACACTCTCTAAAAAGAATCTTCTTCTCTCCTCAATATTATATTATTATTTCTATTTCATTTTTGTTTTCTTATTTCATAATATAAATCTTTTCTTTTGTTTTTCCAAATAATCATCCTAAATAATTTTCATGTAATATAAAATTTATTTATTTTTTGTTTATTTAATATTAAATTATATTTATTCTAAATTTCTAAAGAACAATTACGAATAATTGAAAAAAGAAATCACCAAGCACAACCGCAATCACAACCACAACTTATCTAAATCATACACAAATTCCTTTTTCGAATATTGTTAAATCTAGAAACGACCTACCGGATTACTAAATTATTGTTGTAATTTTTAAAATTATTATGTTATGTATTGTATTGTTATCTTGTATTTAAATTATTATGTAATGTATTGTATTTTGAAATTAAAATTTTATCTTGTCATTTAAATTTTGTGCATTCTTCATAGTGAAAATTAATAATAACATCCAATTGTATCACAAAGTGACGAAAATTAAAAAAAAATATTTAAAGTATTATTAATTTGAGATGAAAGTAGTATATATAAAATAAATATTTTTAAAAATGTTATATTACATTTAAAAAGAATTGCGAATATTAGAGATTTAATTAAAAGCCTTATATGACAAATAATATGTTTATTTAAAATAATAGAAATAATAATATAATATTCAAAAAGTGAAATAGAGAATATGAATAGTTCAACTCGTAAAATAGAGAGTGGTTGGAGAAGGCATTCTCTATTTTACTCTCCAAATATAGAAATAGAGAATGGAGAGAAATAAAGTAGGGTTGGAGATGGTCTTAGAGAAGAAAAGATGCCTATCAAAGGAAGAACTTCACAAACAACACTTCCACGACAAAGGAGGAATATGCTTCAGATAGGAAAAACAACACTGAGAGAGATAGAAAGGAGGAATATGTTTAGAATATGTAGGAAGTATGCATGAGAGGGACGGGATCAAGAAACACAATACCGCCTCAATCCCAAGATGGGAGGAGGCAACAACAAATTTCACTATCCATTTAAACCCATTTCATCCGAACATTAAAAAAATTGGGGTTCCATAAACTAGAATTTTCAATTCCTACTAACACAAATCTCTAAGAGGACCAAAAAGACCCCTAAAACCATTGGACCTAATGTAAGTATAACGTCAAGACTAAGCCTTAATATCACTAGCTTGTGTTGCCTATAAGGATCTTTTTGTCCTATTCTTCCAGTTTCTCCACTAGATCTGCATGAATTACTAGAGAAGATAGGGTCTTATGAATGTGATGCTCAAGAACAACTAACATAACAATCCCACTTGGAGTATCACAAGATTTCTATTCTTTAACCACAGTAATGCTCTGTTTCAACAAGAACACAAGAAAATATTTTTATAAGAAGTTGATAATGACATAATGTAAGCTCAGAAATATTTTTCCTGTTAATTTCACCATGGCCTATAAGTGGCAGTAACTACTTAAACCCATGTCTGCTAATTATGGTAAATGAAAGTGACCAATTACGTAATTATGAATTGATATAAGTACAGTGTTAGCATTATTTTTAATCGTAGAACTTGGGGGTAATGATAGGTCAATGGGTATGGGTGTAAAGATACAATCAAGATATGTATATTATGATATTTATAAGTATATATTTCGTCAATTAATTGAAGTTATTGAATTAGAGCTTAGTATAATTAAATTCTTTGTAAACACTTACATTTTATACATAAGTTATCTCATTTAATACCAAAGTGTTCTAGTACTTTATGTGAATATATTTATAAGGCACAAACAGAAAACCAAACCAAATAGCTAATCAACCTATACTTCTTGGCCATAAATTTATTCAAAGCACCCGAGTTAGGTTGATCAAATCTAGAGCGGATCAATCACCCACACACAAATCATGTCAGTCGACAGTGGTACGTCAAGGATTTGAAGGATCAGTGCAGTACATACTACGGATATCTAAAACATAAACAATCAAAGGAAATGATGTGAGCTAGCAACCTATTCCAATGGCCATCAAATATATTGTCCAGTTCAGGACATTCAGGAGCATCATCATCAGGCACCCAGCGTTCCAACTGCCGCTCTACCTCAATATGCCGAGATTGTGAAATACATGAATCTGTCAGAAGTTCGTGCTGCTGTTCCAGCATGAATTCTGTTCTGAAACCATCTAAAGTTGTAGGCACACCCTACTCCAAAGCAATATAGCATCATTATTATAACTAAAATTAATTGATAATCACATCGATCAGAGTCAAAAATTGATTTGAAATTATATATAAAGGTCTTCCATGAAAGACCATCACCATCATATACTGTGATCTGATTTGCCTGGTTGATTATTTAAATTGTAAAGTATTATCATTGTTGAAATCAGACAATGCATAAATAATTGCTGGAAAGAATTATAGTAGTTGCACACAAACCTTTGCTGTAACTTGTACAAACTCTTTACCCGGTATTATCAAAGTCTTTAATGGAGGCTTGCTAAAAGTTTCAGAAGTACTCTTCATCCCCTCAGAACTATCTTTTATCAACTGAGCCATTTTCAGAATAATACCTGTGTCAAGTGAAGGGAATAAGCCAATGTTAAATATAAATAGTTGAAGTATATTTTGAATAGGGGCTCCTGTTTTGGTTGTAAGTATACTTTGTAAATTTCTTAACTTAGCATTTTTTTCATGTGCTAAATTATGGTTTAATACAATTGGTTACTTCGACTCAAAAAAATAAATAGTTGAACATATGCCAAAACAATGGTTAGTCTTCAATTAATACCCAAAGACCTGCAGTCTAAGTTAACTTTTCTAACATACCAAAATCTTTTTCAGCGTTTGTCGCATGAAGTATCCCTGAAAACACTGATCCGTCCATCACTTGTACTTCCACTTGATGTCCAACAAGACAGGTAGTGAAATAAACAAGTCGATCATGTGACAGGCTTTGATATGCTCCCCCTTTACCTGGAACACTTGGAATTAGAACTACAGAAGAAATCATAGGCAATCGTAAGTCAGTGACTCTCACCTACACCTGTAAATTGACGAGAAGTAGTTTTTCCAGATTGCACTTTATTCTCCAACTTAGTACCCATTTCTCTATCAACTTTACGACGGCCATATCCATTGGCAGAAGGCCTTGGCTGCACGGGTTGCTGCATCTTCCTAAGAAATGTGTTAATTTATAGGCGAGATGCAGTTCAGCTCAGGTACAGTCTATACACTGCAGAAGACAATACTCCAATAAGAAAATAATCGTAACTGCTAAAGATTGAAATTTGAATGAAGCATCTTTTTTTGCAAGCATGACAAAGTACCAAACTGCACAGTACACACCAAGGCAACAACTAAGAGAGTAGACCTGGATATTCCACTAGCTGGTATACAGAAACCAGGAACAAGAATTATATAACACGAAACATAATGCATCTTTTGAACAATAACTAGGCATTAAGGCACTTTATTGGACTGTGTGATTAACAAGATACAAAGTAAAATAGAAGGCAGTAACCTCTGCAATGCAATGTGAGAATTGAATGTTAATAGATGCAGACCATTAATTTCTCTTATGACAAATAGAGGGTTTCAGCAATTGTTTTGCTATTTGAGCGTTGGTTCAGGTATTGGAATAGTAGGTTCTTTTATATGTTAGAGAGGCCCAAAGGATTGGGATCCTTAAAAGACTTTAGACATTGTTGCTTGCCCAAGCCAAAATTTATTACCCCATTGTTGACCCTAACTCATTACGCGTGAGCCTAGTTGTCTCACCATCAGATCTGAAATTCAAAAAACTTCGTGTCTCCTCAAAAACCCCTCAGAGGTCCATTTGTTCACCAAAAATTCCAGTGACAATATCCTTTCCAGGACAGTGAGGCTTTGTGACTGACAAATTGTAGTGCTTTCCAACCCAAATGGATATATAGTACTCGAACTCTCCGGAATCCACTGAGATGGTCCCCGGAATACAATTAACTGATTAAGAGGCTTTTGACAAGAATTCAAGCCTATTTTAGGTAGCCTCTTCAAAATAGTTTCTTCCTCTACTTTCAATCAACCACGCAATTTCACCAATTTTCTAAAAGTATCATGATTCCATAGGGTAGAAGCATACCCAACAAACTAAATAGCTAATCCAACACTATTTTGGTATATCGTTGTCTGAGATGAATCCCGACATTTGTGACTGTGAGAAGACAAGAGTTTGAAAGAGAACTCAGCGGGAATTAACTCATTAAATTCCTCCATAACCGCCTGAACCTGTCCAAGATAAGTTGACATATCCAAGTCCTGCTTTTTTAAGGTTAGTTAACCGAGAAATCACATTATAACAGCGGGATATGTCATTTGTGTAGCCCACGAGCCTTTTCCCAAACTAAGAAGCAAGTTTGAAATGGTCAAAACAATGGCATCAACTTTGAATCAATAGATTTCCATAACAGACTACACAATTGAGCATCAATCTTCTCCCATTCTCCCCTATCTTTTTCAGTAATTCCTTGGCCTGTGTAACCAAGTGATTCTGAACACCTTGTCCCTTGCACCATAATTGAACAGAGGAGGACCAAGATAAATAGTTTGCACTACCTATCAAAGGTTCTGTGGTAATGCCATAGTTTGGGTTGGTGGAACTCACAGATTTAGTGCTAAACATATCGGATCCGAGAGACATGAAAAACAGATCTATTAGTGTTCAAAAATAAAGTAAATTATGGGGAAAAAACCTGAAGAACAGATCTGGAAAACAGGAGAACTGCTTGCTGTCTTGCCAGAAAAAGTTGCTGGGAAAAAAAACTGCCAGAAAAGTGGCTGAAAAACACCACAAGCTGCGAGGATTCCGATCGTAATGGTGGTACTGGTATATGCACAATACCCCTAGAGAGTGTCGGAATCGCAGAACAGTGGAGGTTTTGCTGGAAAAAAAAATTCAGCAATTTTGTTCTCTCATTATTCTTGTTTTCTCACTAAAGAAAGCTCTGATACCATGTGAGAAGCTGATTTCTCTCTCAAACTCGTCTTCTCACAGTGACCACCAGTCCAGCCTAAGTTCCATGTTTTTCCATCTTCATACTCTTTTGATTCACCGAGATTCCTCATCCAATGTTAGTTCAAAGATAAAACTAAACCCTTTCATTTCGAGGACCTGAGGACCCCCCCCCCCCCAACCTTCCAAATGTTCGAACCCATCTTCTTAGTTCTGAGCCTATTGGGATATCTTAGTGAACACCCTCAAATCTCCCCCAACAAGCAATTTTGAAGGGACTCCCTCTTTTGTTAAATAATTTTGTTATCCAACAGTGATTTTACGCTCCAACTAGTTCCTATCTTTCAGCCTCATTTCACTTTCAGAACATCTCAAGTTCTCACTGCCCCTTCATAGCACTGTGGTTGCTTCCCTTTAGTAATCTGGCTTTCTTTATAATTTTTTTGTATTTTTCAAGTTATATCGGCCCAGGCTTCTGTTTTGCATAGATAGCCACAAATCTTCCATGAAAATTAAAATACCGAGTTACAGAAAACTCATAGAGTTGGTCCTACTGATTCCCTCTCCTGAATATGTTCCCAGATCCTTCTGATGCAGCAATCATCTTTAGGCATACCCATATAACATATTAGGACTCGTCTGCTGATCGTCAACTGCCTTACAAAGTTTCTTCTCCTTTCTACCCAGTTGCACCATATGTTGTGGAATGGAGCATATTCGATGAGATCAAAGGACTTAGCACCGGCAACAAAAAATAACTTTCTTGACATTTGATGGATTAAGTTCTAAAACAATCAGCCTAATAAAATGATTGGAAATAAAACATAACCTAGGACCAACAAGAGCTTAGTTCCAGACGACAGAAAAACCCAGTCTACCAGGAAAAGCCAAGAGCTAAACATTTGAGAAACTACTTTTTTAAATTTGAGTCCGATGAAGCGAGCTCTTACAAATCTTTTTACTGGCAGGGTTCTGGGAAAAGAAAGGGAAAATGACTTTAAGCTCAAGATCAGGGTGGTATTTTTCTTTAATCAAGTAATTTTTTTATTAATAAGCCCAAGATCAAAGACTTGGTGAAGGAACAATTGTGAACTAGCTAAAACCTCAGCTGCTATTAAGCTTTTAAATGATCAATTATTGAACATTAGAAGCGGAGTGTTTGGTAATTTTATGTGGGAGAGGCAGGGGGTTAGTCTCCTCTTCTCATCTTCCCTTTATTCAGTAGTATTACTTTAATATTCGCATAGTATCTTATTCTTCATTGTTACGACTACGTGTTGCTTCATTTGCTTAATTTATTTTGCTATTTAGTTGTCGTTATTTTGCTTTGATTACTCTTCTTTTGAGTTGAGGGTCTTTCGGAAACAACATCTCCCGAAAAAGGGAAGCCCAACTACCAGAATATTCAAAAGCCAACTAACAGTAACCAAGAAACGACATGCTGTGAATCTATTTTCCTTTCATTGGAAACTTAAGCTCAACGTCTTCTGTCCAACCTGCAATTGATATTTTTCTTCTCTTCCCTTCTTTTTATGTACTATACATAATCATATCAAGTGATAAATGGAGTCTACAGGTACCTATTCACCATTGTGAGTTAATATACACCAACAACTCTCATCCTAAACTAGTTGGTTCAGCAACATCTATATCCATTCGGCTATATTTAGGTTCATTTATTGATTTTTAGAAACTTGAAACAACAAGAGCCAGAAACAAAACAAACGATTTGGCACAAAAAGCACGTATAATAGGAATAACTGCATTCTCCATAAAAGGAATCTTCTCCAAAGCACCTAACTTCCCAAACAAAACAATCAACGCAGTAGGAGCCAATCCAAAATCAAAGCTTTTACAGCTGCTTCACAGAATCACAAGTAATTAATTGAAATCCCAACTTTAAAACAAAAAAGAACCACTTCTTTTGCCTGAGCTCGATTAAAAAACCCTAGACCCATATTTTTGTGCGATTCAAACTACATGATCCATCAATAAACAAGTAGATTAGAAAGGCGATACTTACAAAGAGAGAGAATGTGGCGATCGTAGCAAAGAGAAAGTGAAATTGATAGTCAGAAACGACACCTCTGTATATGTGTCAACGGAATTGGAAGGGTGAAGTCTCTGCGCGTCTTCCGCCACCGAGAAACTGAAATTGCCCCGAATTGCTCAAAATGGGTTCTCACACAGAGTATATTATGATGTCCGTTTAAACACCTTTGTCTGTATAGTTAACAAATACAGTGAAATTACTGAAGAATATACGTAGACTTTATAATTATTTTTTCTAAATAAAAAATCGTTTTCGAAGATCTTCGCTCAAACAAATCAAAATAATAATAAGATAGCTAATAGCAAAATTGAGCTGAGCATATATGCAAGGATATTTATATCTATATTTATATTTATATAAAGAAAGAAATATAATTTGATATTGTTTAGTAGCTGATTAGAGTTAGGAAAGTATTAGTAAATATGCAGAACTAAAAAAATACTCCTTCATTCTTAATTCTATTAGCGAACTTTTTATCCTTCAACGTGAATTTTCTGGCATAAATTCAAGTTAATCCAACTCCAAATGAGAGTAGCTAACATCAAATGAAAAACAAAAAAAAAATTGCTATTGTTACGTTATTTGGGTTTTATTTTTCTTCTTGCATGATGATTGATGACAAACATTTTTGTAAGCTATGCAGAAATTTATATGTTATTTTAAATAAAGTAAAAATACATTATTAGGAGTAGTAATAACTAATAAGTATACTTAAACAACGTTTTATATGATTCAACTAAAAATGACAAAAATTGTCACTTACATAGAGCATAAAAATTGACATTTTAAAGTACATAATTTACCTAACACAATATTCCTTCCTTTATAATATTTCATTAAATAAACCAAACATTAAAATTGCCATGCCCCCTCAATTCCTTCTTTTTATACTCAAAACTTATTCAATATTACTGTTATTATTTCTAAATTCAACAAATAGTAGTGTTAAATGAACACTTTCGTGTTGATGTAGATCTAAGCGCATGACTAAATTGATTCTCCTGTTCCATTTAGTATTATTTATATAGTAAAATCTAATTTGTGTTCGTAAACAATATAATAATTCAGGTTTTATATTATAAATGAAATTTAACTTGTTATAGAAGGTTGTTTTCTTTATATTATATAGTTGCAAACTCAAACTTTATGTAATTATTTTATATACCTATATGACAAAGAATCCAATGAGCTTCACAGATTCCTTTTTTAGTGATGTATTCCCACACCAATATGTCAGACCTCCTCTCTATCCAATCATTTTTCATTTCTTTTTTCAATTTTTCCATTCCACTTTTTTACTAGTCAATTCTATTAAAAAAAATAGCTCGATGCACTAAGCTTTTTTTATATGCGGAGTTTGGAAAAAAGTCGAATAACAAAAGTCTATTGTACATAGTCTTATCATGCATTTCTACAAGATAATATTTCCACGTATAAATAATCGAAGATCAAATTTTTTGAAAACACTCCATTATAAGTAAATTCAACAGAACTAGAGAATCCGAGAAATTCATGTTATCACAATAAGGAACAAAAGTTGTTCATTCATTGAGTAGCTATTCCACAAGTCTGTATAACAACACATTTGAAATACAAAATCTTTGAGAAAACTATGTTGGTACAATATCAATTCTATTCCTAATTGTTCCTGATTTGGGCAACTAGCTCCAACTTTGACATATTACACCGCGAGATGCACAAAGCATCTTGCATTCTATCTGGGATCTATTTAATCGTCTACTTAGTCAGATAAAACAAAGTGTTGATAGGCTCTCCAAACGTCAATGGTAGATCCACAAAATCCATGATTTTGACATGATTCCATAATTTAGTATCTCCCACGAGTGAGATTATACAGGGTATGTTGTTGTTGTTGTTGTCCATAATTTAGTATCTCACATTTGACAGGAAGGGTTTGTGTGGCTTCCAGATGAACTCATATCAGCATATAACTTTGTGATTATACATGAAGCAGACATCTTGACATGATGAAACTTAAAGACGTACAGATGATCACCATCACCATGATGTAAATATGAAAGTGATATTCTAACCGTTGAGTCAAGTACTTCATCATATAAGAGAAAGCAGTGCACCCGGTGTTCCCCTAAAGACGTAAATCAATCTTCTCAGACCACTTGAAGATGTCCGAGTGAACTTGATCACCTCCCAAGTCTTTACCCGTTGCACCAGCTGCAACTCTCATAATATCTTCAATCAAAGCGAAATTTCCCATAATATCAACATGAGCTCCACTCTGTGTACCACGGCCCTCAAGAAGGTTCGCGGGAGGAGCATGATCATACTCCCTTGTATAAGTTTTGATTCCTGAAGGATTAAATCTAGTTTTTCCACGCCATCCTTTTGCACACATGAAGCCTGCACTTAAAATAGGCACCGTCTCATCGCCATCAACAGTGAGAACACCATTCTTCAAACAACACTCATTCCCTTCATCAGCTGAAGTTTCAATCTGGAATGGAATATGACATTGTGCTATTGGTGTCTGCCCGTAAACATATGCTCTTTCAGTTGGAATGCCAACTCCATACATTGAATAAAGCTCCATTTCAGGAGCATTTGGTAACCTGTAGGGTTAACAAGGTAAAAATAAAATGAACCCGAGGTCATTTTCTACTCGTAGACTATAACAAGAGGCATCCTTTGTACAAAAGCAACTACTAAAATAGTATGGAGACAGAGTTCAAATGAAAGCACTCACTTTGTTTCCAATGGATTTGACCAGTATTTGTAGTGTGAATACATTGGATCATCCAAATCTTTAGCTATCCCATATGAAAAATGAGCGCCTCCACGAGCCATCATCTTTGGGGCAACAAAGTGAAGTAAATCCAAGATATCTCCAGCTGTATAAACCTTGTATTCTTCCACAGCTTTTATACCAGCAACGCCCATGTCATAATACTCTGTCCACACATCACATGTGTTATTTGCTTTATTCGTGCCCTTCACTGCACCCTGCAGGTAAACAAATACAGATACTTCCAGACAACAAGAAGTGAGTGGGAAAGAGATGATTTCGCTTAGCTTATAAGTACAAGAAATTAAGGCATAAATTGACATATTATTCATCCTACTGTACTACTGAGTTAATGTTCATCATATATTTGTTTCGATTGAATTGTTGTAGTTATTCTTTTTATTTGTGTTTCTTTGCTTTATAAGGATCAAAATGTTAGATGACAGGTCTACCAAAGCTATGCCTCACAAATGTCTTTCTCAAGCACAAAAATCCATGTTTGTGAGCCTTAATTAACATTTTGAAACGAATAGAAGAAAGCATAGAAATATGTATAGAACGAGAGCATTTGGTTTGTGGTTAACATTACTCTGAAGTCAATCCTAGTAATATCTGATGAAGGTTTCTGAACTGCATCCTTTCCAAATGATATCATCCTTCCATAATTAACATGTTTTCCTTTAGATTCTATAGTTTGATTGTCCTGATGGCTTGACATCTGACTAATCTTGTCCCTTAGTTTTCTTTTGCGAGGAGAATAGCCTTCTTCTGGAGACCAGTCAAGACCACCCCAAATCGTCTCTCCTCCTTTTGGTAACATAGACATGGTTGAATCCCAAGTCCGAAGCATCTTCATTAAATGTGGTAGTGTTTGAATACGAAATAAATCTTTGTCCATAACAACTGATGCTTTACTCCTGAAATTTAAGTAAATTAGTAATGATCAAGAAGACTACCAATGAAGAATTAGGAACAGCCTACACGCGGAAGCACTCAAAGACTTGTATTTTCCATGATTGCCTACTTAAAATCATTTTGTACATAACATCTAGTGTTGAAATATAAAAGGCTATCAAATAGTATCTCTTAGAACATCAACGATTCGTAGTGGAAAGTTGAGGGAAAAGGAAATAAGGATGTAGACCACATGTTTAACTGCAATTACTACTCACACGTCAAAGCATCAACACATACTCAAATCTAGCTCAAGAAACAGATATGATTAGAAATTTTCACGGCCTTATTTACCAAGCTCGGGACTAGAGGAGCATTTTAGGAATCTGATTTAGCTCTATAGAATATGTACTCTTTCTTTATTTGGCTGTCAAGGAGAAAACATCCACATGAACCAATTTTACCTTGCAATGGCGACATCTCGAGCTTCAGCTGAGAAAAGTGCAGCTAATGCTTTTGGAACACCTAGAAACGGCGCACCAATATTCATCACTGCTTTAATATGTTTGGCACACCAATCAGGACCACCACCACCACCCATTGGAGCTGGTGCCTCTACCCACTTCATGAAATACAAAAAGTAAATAGCTCCCATAGAATGTGGAACAATTACTGCCTTATTGCCTCCATTAGTTGCAACCATCAGTTCTATATTACTTTTTATCTGGCTTAGCGTCTGGTCACGCACCTGATGAAATGATTTCGCCATTGACATTACAACTTTTTGAGGAAACAACAATGCTCAAGCTTACGGATAGTGAAATTTATACCTCAGTATTCTGAATGGAAAGTCTCCAGTCATATGCAGCCATATACATCGTTTTCTCCTCATATCCTATTCGCGCCAAATTAGCAATCAAAACTGCCCACACAAAATATCCTGGCGCAAAGTAATCTGCAGCAACAAGTCCGGCAACTGGCCTAACCCGAATTCCCGGAGGATCCAACCCAGATTCATTGTCCAATGACATGTGTTCCGCCCAACAAAACGGTCTGTTACCATCACACAAACAGATGAACATTAGAATAAACTCCTTTCTTTTTTGCAATTGTTACGCATTCTAGCTATTCAGTGGCAAATTTTAGACCATAACTCATATCTTGTATATATATTTAAAAAATTATCAAATATCTATAAATATTTAACCATAAGTATATTTATTTTGAGATAGCCCTACAAACCCCATATCCTAGATCTCATCTCATATTATTGATACCAATGAAGTTTATTCCCCTTCATCAATTCCATAAAAACATACCAGATTCATCTGAACCCAATACTTTTTACGCGGAGCATAAGTTTATGCATTAAAATTCCGACAAATATCAAGTCTGAACTCATATTGATTATAACAACTTTATAGATTGAACCTATAAATTTCAAATTCTGGATTCGTCTCTGACCTTTTATACACTTCGCCAAAAGTGCCACCCCATAACCGCTTCC